CTGGTTTTATTTGACATTGACTGAAGTTAATAGAAAACAGTTTGGTCAATAATCACCAGACGTGTGTTTAGATCAGTGCTTCTCAATTATTTTCTGTCATGCCCCCCCCAGGACGAATAAAAACATCTCCCCCCCCCCCCCCCCCCCCCGCGTGACTATAATAGTATCATTTGTCTATAAAATTGTTATAAGTGCACCTCTGCGTAAACACTGCCACCTTATATGACGCCAACAACGCTCGCTGGTTTACTGAAGTAGCAGTCACAAAGCAGGATGATTGTCGGCAATATTCGGCACGTTTTTCGCTGAAAAAACCTCAAGCGGCATCAGAGTGATCAGAGTGATTGGGGTTGTCAATCGTATTTATTTCCTCGTCTTCTCCGTTTGTCTCTCTCCGTCTGTCTTCTCATCCCTGTTAAATATTTTTCATGGTGTCACTTGAGCGTCTGCTACACTTCGTGTCTACACTTCATACTCAAACTCTGTGCTGTGTGCAAAGCGCGCATGCTCAGTGCAAACAAAACTCCTACACCACCGAGCGAATGCTCCCTGCGCACACTCTGCCAATGAGAGCGCTCTGCCCCCTAATGTAGTGGAAGTGCAATTGCACTTTATTCTAAAGGCCCGTTCAGACCAAAGCGTCAAAGCGTCCACTTTCTATGTAAAGTCTATGTGGACGCGCGACTAGAGCGTCCTGCGTTTTTGCGGCGCGTTTCGGCGTCAGCGCGGCGCGTCTTCAGCGTTTTGGCGTCAGCGGCCAAGACGCGCATCCAAGGCGTCAGCGTCAAGAAGTTGAAAATGCTGAACTTTTCGCGTCAGACGCGCCGCGTCAACCAATCAGGACGAGTATCCAGAGACGCAGCGACGTTATTATCAGGAAGAAAAAACCCGAGAACCAGAACGAGAACCACAAACATGAGCGGAGAATAAATATATACGCCACAATCACCGAGCCGATCGCGAGGACTACACCAGGACCGGACCAGGACTAAACCAGGACTAGGACCGAGACGAGACCGAGACTAAACAAGACTAGACCGACTTAACTAACCGGGACAAGGGACGTATTAGACTGGACTAGACCGGACTAGACCTAGACCTAGAGGACTAGACCGGGATTAGACAGGACCAGACGGTATTAGACCAGGACTAGACCGGGACTGATCCAGTGTTCATTAGTGGAGTATAAATATAAATACGCCCCAGTCGTCGACCCGATCTCCTCCGCTGATGTTTTATGTCATAAAAACACTCTCTCAGTCTGGTCTGACATTGTTTCGGGAAAAGACCGGGACCGGGCTCTTGTTTCCAGGCAACGGACGCGCGTCGAGTATTTTTGTCCCGTTGTCCACGGCGTCAAAAGACGCGCGTCGGGGGCGTCTAAACTCAAATGCAAAGGCTCCAAATAGAGGCGTCAAGGCGTTTTTTGACGCTTTGGTGTGAACGGCCCTTTAAGACAGTAAAAAAAAATCTAAATAAAAAAATAAAAAAAGCATGTTCCCCGAGGTCAAACGCGCCCCCCTTGACGGAACCTCACGCCCCCCAGGGGGGCGCGCCCACTATTTGAGAAGCACTGGTTTAGATCAAGTGCACACAGGTCTACAGCGCCTCCTGCGGCGTGTGTGTGTGTACAGGCCTCCTGCGTGTGTGTGTGTGTACAGTGTGTTGCGTGTGTGTGTGTGTACAGCGCCTCCTGCTGCGTGTGTGTGTGTACAGCGCCTCCTGCGGGCGTGTGTGTGTGTAAGACCACTTACAAGGCGAAATATTTAAATTGAACTTTGTGGTAAGCTCCTCAACTGCGGGATGGTGTTGTCTTAATTGGATCCTCACCATGACAGTCCTTTGGGACGTATGGAAAGTCTCCCACATACTCGCACTTTGCAATCCATATAACACAACACAACACACCACACACACACTGTACACACACACGTACACTCACACGTGTCTGTTGGTGCAGGATTATGGGTAAAACCAGGTAGTGTGATCAGATGCAGGTAATGTGGGAGACAGTAACCCACCGAACGACAGGAAAGGCTAAAACGTGGCCCAGTCGACCAGTTGCTTTAGCTCCACACAACGAGCGAAGCGACCAGCATGCTACAAGAATAGTCACGACACAACGACAACACACACGTATGACACATCACCACGATCAACTCGTACACCACGAATCCATACACACACAAACACCACACCATCGACACAACACAATCTGTTACAGCAGCTACAATAACAGTCCTGAACATCACATGCACATGTCATATAACGAGCAGTGCACAAAAACGACAACACCACACAGACACACACACAACAAAACAACACGTGGGCGACGTACACGTACTATCGATACATCACGGCTGATATGATCCACAGCACATTGGTAGATACTGTACCGTTACACAACGAGCAACCACACGAGCTTGCGACATACAATGGTACACAACGACGTACACACAGTGTGCACACGACGCAGATCGTATGACTCACACACAGACTTAGCGCAACTGACATTGTTCATTACGTGTATACAGTCCCATTTTCACGACACACACAACAACACACAACACACACACATGTTATGTCCACTACATAGCGTATCAACAGCTACGTAACAACACAAGCACACACAGTTTGCACACAACACACAGTGTTGCACACACACACAACACGCAACTTAGGTGCAGCATCCAGCACATCTGATCAGCTTACAGACGTACAGACTACTGACATACACGCATACACAGGTGTTCGTCCACATAACACCACAACACACACAGCTTAGAGCGCAAACGCCACAAGGTGATACACTACACAAACACAATTCAGCACAACGGTGTTGCGTGTACGATATAGCACCACAACCACAACACATCTCGTAACACGAACATACTACACACAGCAACAGTATGAGCCACAAGCAGTTGATACAGTTCAGCCACACACATACAAGCAATGTCCATGTCCCGTTGTACGACGTATGACACTCTAGGCACGATGACCACCACACTATGACGCACGGTGCTTATCATCACGTATCGGACACCCGAATGTACAGTCAACTACACACATGTGTTTCAGTTGGTGTTGTCATTGGTGGTGACATCCCAGATTCTGGCACCAAACACTAAGGACGATTCCTTTTAAACACACAGCGTGTTGTCCGTTGGCCGTATCTGTCAGTTTAGCACAACAGGCGAACGAACTCCTACACCACAAATACACAGACAACCATCAGAGTCACACACAACATGTTGAACAACAAACAGACCACACACAACACGACACACACCACATCCACAAACACAACAACACGACCACACAAACACACCCACACAACACCACAACACAAACAGTACACAACACACACCATCAACACAACATACCACAACACACACACAACACAACCTATACCACATACACACCACCAACACGAGCACACGCAACACCACAACAACTACCCACCACACAACACCACAACAATCACACACAACACGAACATACACAATCCACACACACAAACACATACAACACACACACACAACCAACACACACACACACACACACAACACACACAGACAGCACACACAAGAACACACACACAACACACAAAACACACAACACACCACACACACACAAACCGACACACACGACAACACACAAAAAGAACACACCCAACAGCACACAGCACACACTACACAACAACACACACACAGGCACCACAACACACACACACACACAACAACACACACACACACACACACAACACAACTACACACACCAACACACTCAACAACCACACAACACCAACCACAACACAACACACCACACAAACACAACACATCAACACACACACACACACACACACAAGCACACACACAACAAAACACAACACACACACAACACACACAACACACACAACACACAACAACACAACACACACACACAACACACAACACAACAACACAACCAAACACACAACACAAAACACACACCAACTCACTTTTACAAACTTTCTTCTAAGCCGTAAAAATGCTTTTGAATCAAGTCAAACTCATTCTACAGTACAGATACTTTATCGCTTTTACTGATTAAACTATTACCCATCACAGTAGTAGATAATACCTAGTAGATATTCAGTAGTCAGTAGTATTTTCTCCGTGATATGGTTAGTTTTTATAGTAGTATAGTAAGTAGCAGTAGGTAGTGTAGTTAGTAGTAAGCTTGTCATAGTCAGTAAGTAGTGCGTAGTAAGTAGTATTAGTAAGTATGTAGTAGTAGTAGTAGTATTTTTTCTCCTGAGTCATGGTTAGTTAATAGGTAGTAAGTTAGTAGTAGCAGTAGTAGCAGTATAGTAGTAGTAGTAGTAGTAGATAGTATTAGGTAGATCAGAGTTGTAATTTTTCTCTCCTGACTGGATGTCAAAATGCGCCCTTAAGATCAAAATAGACAAATTAGCGTAAAGCTCCAACAACCAAACTAAACCTGACGTAAAAGCTAGCAGTAGTTAGTAGTAGCCTTAAAGTAGCGAGTCAGTAGATAGTTTTTTTTAGATTAAGAGTAGTAAATTAGTAGTAGTAGTATTTTTCTCCATAGATCATGTTGTTCAATATTTAGTAGTAAGTAGCCCAGTAGATAGCAGAGTACGCAGATAAGTAAGTACGTAGTAGTAGTAGTAAGTCCCAGTAGTCAAAGTCACACAACCGTAAGCAACCACCTATTACAAGTCGCCAAGTTTTGACCTAGCCCTAAGTAGTAGTTGTAGTAGCATTTTGCAGCCTCAGTAGTATTTATATTATTTTTCATCCCTAGTTGATTGCCCACTTCCTTCATCTCACTCATAAAACCACAGAGACTCAGAGCAGAGGCACACAACGACAGGACCGACAGGAGCAGGACCGACAGGACGCGCAGAGGCCACAAACGACAGGACACAGACAGGAGGCAGGGCAACAACGACAGTTTATTGAGCAGGACCGACAGGAGCAGGACAGGAAAAAAAGCTGACAGGAGCTTGACAGAGCTGACAGGAGCAGACAGGAGCTGACAGGAGCAGAGACTTCACAGTGATTCGTCTGGAGGAGGTAATGATCCTGATTCGTTCGCTGGATTTAAAGCAGCACTCAGTCACTTTTCTGCTGCCCCGGTGACCTGCTGTGGTAAAGCCGCACTGTGGAACTTTTCAGACAAAGCTTTAACATCTCCATGGAGCCGAGAAGTTCCACCGCGCAGCTTTAGACTGATCACCAATGAGTGGATTTGGCTGAAAAAGAAATAAAACCCCACGAAGCGCCGCGAGGACCAGAACCTTCTCCTCCGTCCGACCGAAAACCGTTCCACCTCGTGATGTCATCGTGTGGTTTTTAAAAACTCCGCACACCTTCACTTTTCAGCTCTGGAGTTGCCGATCTCGACGGAACTAAAGGGAAAAGAAACTGTGGGGAAAAAAATAAATAAATAAATAAAAAACACGAAAACTACCACTTCATGACATCACGAGGTGGAGCAGAACGTCTGGAGGTTTGGAGTCAGTTTTGCGTGATCTAAGAGCTTCAAACTGAGATGTGGAGATGTTGAGATGTTGAGATGTGGAGATGTTGAGATGTTGAGATGTTGAGATGTTCAGATTTTCAGATGTTCAGATGTTTTGATGTTGAGATGCTGAGATGTTGAGATGTTGTGATGTTCTGATGTTGTGATGTTCTTCCAGAGAAACGTGGTCTGAGGTGGAGATGGAGCTGGAGACGACTCGAAACGGAGGCTCCAAACAGGTGCGTACCAGAGCTGCTTCTGTCTCGACGTTCTGGAAGGTGCGTCAGATGTTAAACGTGAGCTCCTGCGCAGAGCCGAGGATCAGACGCTCAGAAACGAGGAGCCACCGTCAGCTTCCACAACATCCACTACAAGGTCCAGCAGGGAGGAGGCCTCTTCTGCTGCAAGAAGACCCTCAAGGACATCCTCATAGACCTCAAGTAAGAACCACACACGAGCACTTGAACCAGAGGAGCTGAGGAGAAGGTCAGAGGTCCTTATTTGTCTGCTCAGAGGGTTCTCCTGGGTGTATGTGGTTCTTCAGAGGGTTCTCTGGGTGTATGTGGTTCTTCAGAGGGTTCTTCTGGGCGTATGTGGTTCTTCAGAGGGTTCTCCTGGGTGTATGTGGTTCTTTGGAGGGTTCTCTGGGTAGTGTGTTCTTCAGAGGGTTTCCTGGCGTATGTGGTTCTTCAGAGGGTTCTTCTGGGCGTATGTGTTCTTCAGAGGGTTCTTCTGGGTTATGTGGTTTCTTGGAGGGTTCCTGGGCGATGTGGTTCTTTCAGGGTTCTCTGGGTAATGTGGTCTCAGAGGGTTTCTGGGCGATGTGTCTTCAGGTTTCTTCTGGGTGTATGTGGTTCTTCAGAGGGTTCTCCTGGGTGTATGTGGTTCTTCAGAGGGTTCTTCCTGGGTGTATGTGGTTCTTCAGAGGGTTCTTCTGGGTGTATGTGGTTCTTCAGAGGGTTCTTCTGGGTGTATGTGGTTCTTCGGAGGGTTCTCGTGGGTGTTTGGCGCTGCGTGGACGTCTTTGAGCGCAGCGGTGGTTCTTAGCCCGAGTTGAACGGTCCGTGTCAGATGTTCGTTGGCGTACGTGCGTCTCGGAGCCCAAACGTGACTCTGGCAAACATCTGAGGTGAAACGTGACTCCTTCAAAGATCTGAGGAGGAAGGAAACTGCCCCAAACCCAGAGCCCAGAGGAAGAGCGCTACAACAATGCACAGGAACCCGGCGTGAGGTCGGCCAAACGCATCTCCAGCGAAACCTGTGTGTGACTCATCATCTGAGGAACTTCTGTAGGAGCTTTTTTTGTCTTGTGTTTATTTTCGAGCTCAGTTTCAATATTTTAGCAAAACTTTACTGTTGGTGGAGAAAAAACTGGTCAGAAACGGGGAAAACTTTGACATTTTTTGTGTAAAACTGAGACAAATCAGTAAGAACGTAACGATATCCAAATCTCTCGGTACGATTTCATCACGATATTTTGGAGATAAGACACTTTTTTGCTTTTTAAAATATCCTGACGAGATTTTGGTGCAAATTATTTCCATCATAATCCCAAAAAATTCAAGTAAAAAACGTCCAAATCCACTTTATTTCTCCAGCACATTTCACAAACGCAGCAGTTTCCAAAAAGTTTTGGGTTTTTTAAGTAAAAGGGTTTAAGTCTGGTCTTAGTCCTGGTCCTGGTTTAGTCGGTCTTAGTCCTCTGGTTTAAGTCTTAGTCCTGGTCTCTGGTCTGGTTTCAGTCTGGTCTTAGTCCTGGTCTGGTCTCTGGTCTGGTTTCAGTCTGGTCTTAGTCCTGGTCTGGTCTCTAGTCTGGTTTCAGTCTGGTCTCTGGTCTGGTTTCAGTCTGGTCTTAGTCCTGGTCTGGTCTCTGGTCTGGTTTCAGTCTGGTCTTAGTCCTGGTCCTGGTTTAAGGTCTTGTCCTGGTCTGGTCTTAGTCCTGGTCCTGGTTTCAGTCTGGTCTTAGTCCTGGTCCTGTTAAGTCCTGGTCTTGTCTGGCCTGGTTTAAGTCTGGGTCTTTAAGTCCTGGTCCTGGTTTAAAGTCCTGTCTTAGTCCTGGTCTGGTTTAGTCTGGTCTGGTCCTGGTTTAAGTCTGGTCTTAGGTCTTGTCCTGGGTCCTGGTTTAAGTCTGGTCTTAGGTCTTGTCCTGGTTTAAATCTGGTCTTAAGTCCTGTCCTGGTTTAAGTCTGGTCTTAGTCCTGTCCTGGTTTAAGTCTGGTTTAGTCCTGGTCCTGTTTAAGTGGTTTAAGTCTGGTCTTAGTCTGTGTCTTAAAGTCTTAGTCCTGGTCTGGTTTCAGTCTGGTCTTAGTCCTGGTCTGGTTTCAGTCTGGTCTTAGTCCTGGTCCTGTTTAAGTTGGTCTTAGTCCTGGTCCTGGTGTCTTAGTCCTGGTCCTGGTTTAAGTCTGGTCTTAGTCTGGTCCTGGTTTAGTCTGGTCTTAGTCTGGTCCTGTTTTAAGTCTGGTCTAGGTTTAAAGGTCCTGTCCTGGTTTGTTTATCTGGTCCTGGTTTAATCTGGTCTTAGTCCTGGTCCTGGTTTCAGTCTGGTCTTAGTCCTGGTCCTGGTTTAAGTCTGGTTTAGTCTCTTAGTCCTGGGTCCTGGTTTAAGTCCTGTCTTAGTCTTGTCCTGGTTTAAGTCTGGTCTTAGTCCTGGTCCTGGTTTAAGTCTGGTCTTAGTCCTGGTCCTGGTTTAAGTCTGGTCTTAGTCCTGGTCCTGGTTTAAGTCTGGTCTTAGTCCTGGTCCTGGTTTAAGTCTGGTCTTAATCTGGTCCTGGTTTAAGTCTTGGTCTGGTCTTTCCTGGTTAATCTGGTCTTTGTCCTGGTCTGGTTTAAGTCTGGTTTAGTCCTGGTCCCTGGTAGTCCTTGGTCCTGGGTCTGGTCCTGGTTTAAGTCTTGGTCCTGGTTTAAGTCCTGGTCCTGGTTAAGTCTGGTCTTAGTCCTGGTCTGGTCTCTGGTCTGGTTTCAGTCTGGTCTTAGTCCTGGTCCTGGTTTTAAGTCCTGGTCCTGGTTTAGTCCTGGTCCTGTCTGGTCTTAGTCTGGTCTGGTCCTGGTTTAAGTCTGGTCCTGGTCCTGGTCTTAGTCCTGGTCTGGTTTAGTCGGTCTGGTCCTGGTTTAAGTCTGGTCTTAGGTCTTAGAGAAAAGTCAGAGTCGTGTGAACGAGAGGAGATAAAATGTGACCTGTTCAAATCATTTTAAAGATAAAAAAAAGGTTTAATTTTATCTAAATTATAAAAGCCACAAATGATAAAAGCCCAGATTTGACGGCCGCCTTCACTCGTTTGTTAAGTTAAAACTCAATGTCCTGCCTCATTAAAACTTCAAAAACACATTATTTAACTGTACATGTTGTCTGCGCTGAAATGAATCATGGGAAATGTAGTTCCTGATGTTTATTTGCTGCTGCAGCTGTAAAACCTGCAAAGAAACTAATCAGAGTACAAATGATGAGTAACTGGTATTCAGTTACAGTTACTGTTTCAGTGAGTGGTAATTGGATTACAGTTACTTTGATTAAATAAATGGATTAACCAGAGGGATTTTCCTGTTTTCACTTATTAGGCTAAATCCCCCCCGGTAATTTCACTCACTGCAGGAAACTAAACCAGGTCTAAACCAGGTCTAAACCAGGACTAAACCAGGTTTAATCCTGGTTTAGTCCTGGTTTAGTCCTGGTTTAGACCTGGTTTAGACCTGGTTTAGACCTGGTTTAGTCCTGGTTTAGACCTGGTTTAGTCCAGGTTTAGTCTGGGTTAGTCTGGTTTAGTCCTGGTTTAGTTCTGGTTCTGTTTCCTGGTTTAGTCCTGGTTTAGTCCTGGTTTAGTCCTGGTTTAGTCCTGGTTTATCCTGGTTTTTCGGTTTAGTTTAGTCCTGGTTTAGTCTGGTTTAGTCCTGGTTTAGTCCTGGTTTAGTCCTGGTTTAGTCCTGGTTTAGTCCTGGTTTATTCCTGTTTAGTCCGTTTGTTTACTGGTTTAGTCCTGGTTTAAACCTGGTTTAGTTCTGGTTTAGTCCTGGTTTAGTCCTGGTTCAGAGCAGCACTCAGATGCGTTCGATGTTTCTAATGCACTAAAACACTTTGTATTGATCCGTGTTCAAACAGGAAAAGTGACTCTGTGTTCTGAGTGTGTTTACATCTGCGCTCTGCTCCACCTCGTGATGTCACACAGTGGTGGTTCATGTTTCTGGTGTCCTGGCAGGTCTCGTGTTCCTCGTGTGAGGCTGTTCTCTGACTGGGACAAAGTGCAGATTTTTACTGCCCGTCTATCTTTACAACGCACAATCATTTACAGAGGTCAAAGGTCAAGAGCGCCGCACGCTTCAACGACAACACCGCCAACGACAACACCGCCAACGACACAACGCCAACGACATCGCCAACGACAACACCAATGACAACACCGCCAACCACACCGCCAACGACACCGCCAACGACAACACGGCCAACGACATCGCCAACGACAACACCGCCAACGACAACACCGCCAACGACATCGCCAACGACACACACCGACAACACGCCAACGACAACACAAACCAAGACAACACCGCCAACGACAACGACAAACGGACAACAACGCAACGCAACACACCCAACGACACACGCCAACGACAACACACCAACGCCAACACCAACGACAACGACAACACCGCCAACGACAACACACGACAACACGCCAAACGACAAACAACACCGACCAAACGACAACACCAAGACAACACCGCCAACGACCGCCAACGACAAACACAACAACCGCAACCACACGACAACGACCACCACACGGCCAACACAACCGACAAACACAACGCCAACGACAACACCGCCAACGACAACATCGCCAAACCGCAAACAACGACAACGACAACAACACACGACCAACGACAACACCGCCAACGACAACCGCCAACCACCGCCAACGACAACACAACACCGCCAACCGACAACCAACGACAACACCGCCAACGACAACACCAACGACAACAACGACAACCAACAACACACTGCCAACGACAACACCGCCAACGACACCGCGACAACACCAACGACAACACCAACGACAACACCGCCAACGACAACACCGCCAACGACAACACGCCAACGACAACACAACGACAACCAACGACAACCAAACGACAATGCCACCAACGACAACACCAACGACACCACCAACGACAACGACACACCAATGACAAACAACCGCCAACGACAACACCAATGACAACACCGCCAACGACAACACCGCCAACGACATCGCACCAACGACAACACCAACGACAACACCGCCAACGACACCGCCAACGACATCACGCCAACGACACAACACCAAGACAAACACCGCAACGACAACACCGACAACACAAACGACAACACCAATGACAACACAACGACAACACAACGACAACACCAAACGACAACACAATGACAACATACAACGCAACAACACGCCAA